TAGGTACATAAAAAATAGCTGCTAGATAGGTACATTATCAACAAAAACAATAAACTTTACGTCATAGACAAATAAAAATGAATGAGAAATCAAAAAGAAAAAAGTGAAAGGTGGAAACTATTTGCTAAATATCTGTTCTATTAAGTAAGATATTCAACCACACATACAAGGGTATAAATCAATTTGAATCCACGGTTCTCTAGCCCATAAAATCCGTGCATACACAAGAAAAGCAACGACTCAGTCATATTCAGTTTACCAGACGGAGTTCGTCAAATTTACATACAAATCGGCAACTAAATAATCAGTATACATGTTTAGAAGCAAACACATAGATTATCCAATGGAACAAAGGCAAATTCTCAAGACGGCATTACTTTTGATGGTAATTAAAATATGTAAATGCAGATAAAATGTATTATTGTTTGCAATAAAGCCAGGTCATAAAAGCACTGATTACAACCCATTAAAAAACAGGGACCAATTCATTTAAATTATGATATAATCAGTCAAACAAAAGGAAATGGTTAAACATACCCAAATAAATATATAAGATAATTTAATATTACTAGCTCACAGTATATCAAAAACTATCCACGATGCACTATTATTGACAATAAAAATCAGAACAAATTAATCGATCTGATAGCTTTTAAACAAATGGTTCCGCAAGTGCTTGTTAAAATATCAACTTCAATAAACCTTTAAAAGTGATTACGTATCATCACCATTATCTCACAAGTTAAGTCCATACCAAACATTCACATTACATTTCCAATCAATACACTCACAAACTTAGTCACCGGTCAATATTAGTTGTGGAATATGTTATTTATTTATTTAAACACATAAATATTGGTACAAGATGGCGCAAATATATATGCACAAAACAACGAGAATTCGAAGAGAAAAAAAGGTGGTAAGGAGAGTAAACAGGGAAGAGGACAAAAACGACCAGATTAGTATAAGGTAGTGTAATAATAATAATAATAATATTAATAATGTGGGAAACAAAAAGGTAAAATCAGAAGAAATCTTACAGTTAAGGCAGAAACAACCGTTTTTGAAGAAAGTAAAAGAAGGTTACAGTAAGATCGTCAATGGCTTCTTTTCTGAGCCATATCTGATAACGTCTCTAGCCACTGTGTTGCACCATCTCTCAGACCCCAACCAGGGAGTCGTGAAGGACCAACACAAACCAGTCCTTTGCAGCTTTCTTTCACGCCACGACACCATGTCAGGCACTGACCACCTCTCCGCTTCTTCCAACCAGTCCCAGAGTCGGCAAATAATGCACGACGTGGAATTCTCTGGGACGCCATTCGTAGAACATGCCCAAGACACCGAAGTCGTTGTTTAAAGATGGTGACACCAACTGCATTATCATCTCTGTGCCCGAACACACGATGCCGAACCTCTGCATTAACAACATGGTGTTGTCCCTGGATATCAGCCATCCTTCGGAGACAGCGATGATCAAACACAGAGAGTCGTGCATTGATCTCATCACTCGCGCCACCACCAGCACTTATACAGCTACTCAGATACACGAACTTCTCGACTACGTCTATCTGCTCACCATCCAGGGTGAGTACAGGATTAGAATCCTGCCAGTCTTGTAGAAGTACTTTGCACTCCGAAGGTGCGAAACACATACCATACCTACAGACACTGATTGCCAACTGATTAAATGCAGATTGCATGACTTGGGTATTATCGCACAATAAGACAATATCATCCACACACTAAAGGTCGAGAAGTCTTTCTCCAGGCAACGAATCCACACCGCCATTTATTTATTTATTTTAACACATAGATATTGGTACAAAAAGGCACCAAATACATATGCGCTACACAAATCTCATTCGATATGTGTGAGGGCTGTGATACTGCCCGGGTACCCAAACCGAAGCAGGTGGTTTTCTTAGGGGGCCACTCCCCGAGCCTTTGACCTGAAGGTCTGATCCACAAGGCAGTGGAGCATCGTAAGGAAATGCAGTCCCATGGAAGCCGGTGATCAACAATTGGTTCATACGCCATTTGTTCCCGCAGGATACTGGAGCCCATGTGCACCATTGGTTTGGAATCCGGTTAAAGCGCCAGACATTCGCTTTTCGTCCTCTCATTTTCGTAAACAACACCCCCGCCACGAGAAGGCAGTGAGTAGAACTTCCCTGGCAGAGGCTATATACGCGTGGCCATGTGAGAGCATTTCGATAGGGAGAGCGGACTCTCCCCACTCTCGACCGTACCAGGGCATTTAGGGGCCCACACCGCCATTACTTACATCCATTAGAGCTGTTTCCAGAATGTCATCAATGGCAAAGTTGGAGAGGAATGGTGAGATTGGGCAACCCTGTCTAACCCCACTGCTTGGATGGAACAATGGAGAGAGGTGGTTGTATGCTCTCACTCTGCCTGAGGTGTTTTTATATAGGGCTTTTAGGATGTTAATAAACTTCTCAGGCACACCCTTCTTCAACAGACAATCCCAAAGAGCAGTCCTGTCCAACGAATCGAAGGCAGCCCTGATGTCAAGAAACATTGCGATTGTTGGCCTTCGATAAGTATGACGGTGTTCTAACATTTGGCGGAGGGTGAAGATATGATCGATACATCCTCGACCGGAACGAAAACCAGCCTGTTCCTCGCGAGTCAATCTTTCTCGGGTTTTGAATAATCAACGAAGTATGATGGAAGCAAATAGTTTTTTTGTAAAACTATGAATATACTGACGTGTTTCTTACCGTAAATCTTACTCCCATTTAACCTTGTTTATTTGGAATATAACTACGTTCCTATTCAATCGCGTTCTGAATTGGGAACTAGTCGAGTGAAGTAGTGTCCGAAAAATACTAAGCAATAAGAACAGATGGGTTATAATAAGAGAGGTCCTAAAAACAACATTGTTGTGGCAGGGAACTTGACTAATAAACGATGAACATTGTATATTCCTAAGGGTTAAAGTAAGCGTTTGGTTAATTTTATCGAAGACAGTTCAAAATTAAAAATCTGAAATCTACGATCAAGATAATAGCACATACTGACAGTCAGTAAGATGTTCTGGAAAACAAGTTGATTTATTTCTGGCAGTGAACATTTACCACACTTACAAGTAGCCAACTCAATTTTCAATTGAATGTCTTACGGACAGACAGAAACAACTATCATGTATGCTACAGGCACATGTTGTTTAGCTTCAGTTAAATGTCCATTAAGCCCTTACATAAGAATTATCACGAACATGACAGCTTGGGGACGAATCGTTCCCCACAATATGAACAAGGTATAAATAGATAAAATATACAACTGACACACAACCACTACTAAAAATCCCAATTAAATTCTAGTAAGTACTTAAATTTTGATAAATATGTCCATATTCAAGAAGATATAGTTCGTAAGACAATTTGAGCATATGGAACAAAAGTTTAAAACGTAATGAGTAACGTAATTGAAAAACTACAGTGTTCTGCAACCAAACAGCTGATGGCTACCCTAAAATTGATGTCATAGTTCCTGTCTTTAAATGTAAAAAAGTTAGATGAAAAAGATCATAATGATCCACTACAGTATAACAAAATGGTGAGTGAAGTAGTCTTATTTTCAAAATGAAAAGAGAGAATACGAATCTAAAGGATTCACAAACTCAGCTAAAAAAATATGAGTTATTTGAAATAAAACCAAGATATTAAAATTAACCAGGTTTATTCTATCTCCTCATTAGTTATCGCCAGATACTTCTTGTTGATTGAATTTGTTCATAGGTGCGAACTCGTAAGTTATTAGAAATCACTATTTTTTAAGAAAAAATGTTCCTCTTCATTGTACTACCTCGTGATACGACAAGACGTGAAGGATTATGGAATAAAAACAGCAATTAACCAGACTTATAGCGCGACACTAAATCCTAGTTCAAGCGATAATAATTAATATCACATCTATCAAAAGATGAGATTTTGAAATTAATAATTTTTCAATCACATATTCATTTTGACGTATCAAGAGGAACTTACTTTTGGAGGAAGCCCAAGACGGTTGAAATGACGACCTAACTCGGGGAACCGTGAAGCAAAGTGTTGTTTAGTCCTAGATTTTGCGCGATCAACTGTGCTGTAGTTGAAACTTTCGCTTACTAAACGAACAACCTAGAATAGAAAAATGGAGCTACGAACTAGGTGTTATCAAGAATATTAAACATAATGGAATCCACTTGAAAAGTCATTAATCTCATACTACAAAAAATGAAAAATATCAAGGTATAAGGCCAAATAATATCTTCTTAGATTAAAAAAGTTACTACGGTCTAACATCTTGGCGAAAAATTTTCCATAACAGGGATAAACGGCTAATGTTGAATTAAATTCTTAGACAACATCAATATTCTCGACTACCAAAACATGGCATCAGTCCATGAAGTCATTGACAATTGAACCTAGCCATGTTAATAGGTGTAGACTATCTGGTTTGGATCTGTGTGATTATTATAACCAATGGTTAGAGACTTTCAATGACATGGCTCAAAATCTTTTGCGATTGAGCGTGTGTATCCGTTCTTTATCTCTCCCCAAATTCTGAGATTCTAAATTCTTCGTGACTGTTTGTGTTTTTTATTTCAGTAATGTATGTTTTCGCCAATTGTATCCGTAATCTTTCCTATTACCACTGATACTATCACTACCTCTACCATTCTGAGAATCGGCCTGACAATTCCATCTCTTTGCGACTATATGATATGGAAACTTGAACCGATGTACATACGTACCAGGTTGTATGTTGTGACGGATTGATTAGAAATACAGTTTTATGTAATTCCCAGAAACTATCTAAAATTTCATCTATTTATTATTTATTTATTTGGACACATGAATATTGGTACAAGAGAGCGCCAATATATATGCGCCACACAAAACAATGAAAATTCGAAGAGGAATACAAAGAAAGAAAAAAGCTAAGGAGCGCAAAAAAAAAAGAGAGAACAATAACGAAGAGATTGGTGTAAGGTAATGTGCTAGTAATCAGGGAACGCAAAGGTACAATCGGAAGAAATCTTTCAGGTAAGGGAGACACAACCACTTTTTATGAAGAAAGTAAAAGAAGGTTACAGTAAGATCGTCAATGGCTTCTTTTCTGAGCCATATCTGATAACGTCTCTAGCCACTGTGTTGCACCATCTCTCAGACCCCAACCAGGGAGTCGTGAAGGACCAACACAAACCAGTCCTTTGCAGCTTTCTTTCACGCCAAGACACCATGTCAGGCACTGACCACCTCTCCGCTTCTTCCAACCAGTCCCAGAGTCGGCAAATAATGCACGACGTGGAATTCTCTGGGACGCCATTCGTAGAACATGCCCAAGACACCGAAGTCGTTGTTTAAAGATGGTGACACCAACTGCATTATCATCTCTGTGCCCGAACACACGATGCCGAACCTCTGCATTAACAACATGGTGTTGTCCCTGGATATCAGCCATCCTTCGGAGACAGCGATGATCGAACACAGAGAGTCGTCTAACATCTTCAACTCGGATAGGCCAATCTTCTCAAACATAGAGCAAAACTGCTCTCACCGACGCGTTGTAGATCCGACCCTTTACAGCCAGACCAACATCACGAAGGCGCCAAAGGTGGCCCAGATTGGCATAAGCCGCACTGGCCTTCACTATACGTGCATTGATCTCATCACTCACACCCCCACCAGCACTTATGCAGCTACCCAGATACACGAATTTCTCGACTACGTCTATCTGCTCACCATCCAGGGTGAGTACAGGATTGGAATCCTGCCAGTCTTGTAGAAGTACTTTGCACTTCGAAGGTGCAAAGCACATACCGTACCTACGGACACTGATTGCCAACTGATTAAGTGCGGACTGCATGCCTTGGGCATTATCGCACAGTAAGACAATATCGTCCGCCTACTCAAGGTTGAGAAGCCTTTCTCCAGGCAACAGATCCACACCACCATTACTTACATCCATTAGAGCTGTTTCCAGAATGTCATCAATGGCAAAGTTGAAGAGGAATGGTGAGATTGGGCAACCCTGTCTAACCCCATCGCTCGAATGGAACAATAGAGAGAGGTGGTTGTATGCTCTCACTCTGCCTGACGTGTTTTTATATAGGGCTTTTAGGATGTTAATAAACTTCTCAGGCACACCCTTCTTCAATAGACAATCCCAAAGAGCAGTCCTGTCCAACGAATCGAAGGCAGCCCTGATGTCAAGAAACATTGCGATTGTTGGCCTTCGATAAGTATGGCGATGTTCTAACATTTGGTGGATGGTGAAGATATGATCAATACATCCTCGACCAGAACGAAAACCAGCCTGCTCCTCGCGAGTCAATCTTTCTCGGGTTTTGAATAATCAACGAAGTATGATGGAAGTAAATAGTTTGGACGCAATCGGAGGTAAACGTATCCCCCGATAGTTGTTGCAGGAACGACGTGAACCCTTTTTAAAGATGGGGACAACTATCGACTCATTCCATGACGTTGGTACACTCTCTAGTTCCCAAACCTTTGTAAACAATGTCGTCAATGCCTTAGTCAAAAAGTCACCACCATCTTTAAAAAGAGCCTGAGGTAAATCACCTGAGCCAAAAGATTTGTAACGCTTCAAGAGTTGGAGTTCCTTGCGGACTTCCTTCTCGTTTGGTGGATCAGTCGTCAACGGCCATGGAGGGCAGGACAGTCTGACCGATGTTGCCGGAGCCCCTGAATGCCCTGGTACGGTCGAGAGTGGGGTGAGTCCGCTCTCCCTATCGAAATGCTCTCACACGGCCGCGTGTATACAGTCTCTGCCAGGGAAGTCCTACTCATTGCCTTCTCGTGGCGGGGGTGTTGTTTACGAAAATGAGAGGACGAAAAGCGAATGTCTGGCGCCTTGACCGGATTCCAAACCAATGGTGCACATGGGCTCCAGTATCCTGCGGGAACAAATGGTGTATGAACCAATCTTTGGTCACCGGCTTCCATGGGATTGCATCTCCTTACGATGCTCCACTGCCTTGTGGATCAGACCTTCAGGTCGAAGGCTCGGGGAGTGGCCCCCTAAGAAAACCACCTGCTTCGGTTTGGGTACCCGGGCAGTATCACAGCCCACACACAAACGATGAACTCTATGTCTATGGCAACATTTCATCTTGTTAACTACAACCAGGAAAAAATACAATTATGAATAATTTACAAACAAGAACCAACTCTTGTTTTAGGAACAATATTGAGCCGTAGTTTCTGATCTACAAGACTGGCACCAGCCTCTGAAAGGTAACCTTGATTTGGAACCAAACATGATCGACCAAAACAGCAAGGGCAGCAGTGTTTATGCATCCATTTGGTCCATTTTGGGTTAAGCTTTCCATAGGGCTCTTCATCCTTCGGTTTGAATACTGCAATTATCTCCTAAAAAAAAATGTGCGTTTTCAAGTAACTTGTCGGTAACGAACGTAAAATCCAAACTAAAATGTTAAATGTACGTAAAATAATAGTGGGCTACAATTTTTTACACCTTGGTTACATCTGTTATCCGAAGAGTAAGAACTAATATCTGAGTAAATGGACATATTTACTTTACTTTATCTTGTAATTAATGAAGGCGGTAATCGCTCAAATATTCTTAATTGGAAAGTCATCAAATAAAAATATGCGAAATTCACTAGTTAGCAACGCAAAACACTTTAGAACCTGTTTCAGATTAATACTCCTGGAAAAATTTAATAACTGCTGAACATAGCATATTTTCCCGTTTCATTAACCCTTACGTTTGGCAACTATTAACAAAGAACATGGGTCATTGGCCACATACCAAATAAGGTTAATGGATCACTTTGTGGAACACATCGACGAACTTGAAATAACGCTCCATTTACTACCCTTGAGCAACCTGAGTAGCAAATCCAAACATCACCAAAGTTAGCGAGATAATAACAAGGATAGAATAGAGGACAATAGCAAGACCTAATGTATCACATTTATTAGTCTCTCGACTAGAGCACTGACTACTTACTATCTCTACTTTTCAAGAGACAATCGATCTCATTAAAACCATCACATATTTCATAAACAGATAAACTTGATAAATTCGAGTTGAAATCCTGAACCTGCGCACTTACTTTTTATGTGCGAGACCGCGATATGTGAGAAACAAAAACTGCTATCACAAAGCAATAAAGAGAAGTATAGTAAATAACCGCAAATGCGAACTACTAAGCCTAATAAGATACTTAGAACCACAGGGGAATTAGTAAAAATCCTCCCCCCACCCAAATGCAAGACTATAATTAACCTGCATCAGTTAAGACAGATTATACCACACTTCTATTATTAGGAAACCATCGTATGATATTTAATATTTGCACTCAATGTAGGGTCTATTTATTTTGCGAATACAACAGAGAGGCCATGTTTCTTATGGAAAGCTTGCCTCAAATAATGGAAATTTAGACACGAAGTTAGGGAGAAAAACAAGATTTTTTGAAAGTAAACATACTCCAATAGCATTCTTAACAAAGTAGCTTCCACTTGACCCTTGATAAATTCTCTCGGGCAATATTCCAGACTCAATAGCTTGGAGAGCACTTTGTAAAACATTTTTGAAGTCTGAATCGTTATGTATTTCGTTTACAAGCGGTGAATATGAATCAGGAGAAAAGTTATCACTAACATCTCCTAAAAGAGGAGCGTTTTCATCATGATTTTGTGCTGTCATATTTAAATCTTCAAGCAAAAAGCCATCGACATCCGCCTTCAGAGTGTGGTTACGAAAGCTGTCATCGTAAACAGAAATAATACCCAGGGATGGCATACATCAGCCATGCACGTGTAAATTGTCTAACAACAAACCAGCTTTGTAACGCACACTTCAAACCAACCTGTGTAATTTCAGCACCCAATGTCTTGATAGGGAAATGAAATAAACTGGTTGATTTTGTGAATAGACTACTAACATCTACTAAAAACGTCTATGTCTTCAGTTAGTTCCAGTGTGGTGATTCAGAATATCTAAACGCCTTGTTCAGATTCAGGTTTGTGTAGTAAGGACAGAAGGCCAACGGCCTTTGTTATTCTTTTGCTAGTGTGCTTCTATGTGTCCAATCTTCTCTTGAATGAGTCAAATGAAGGTGCGTGTAACGGGTTCCATGTATTGTTTTAAATGTAGAGGTGAGTAAATCGCAAAATAATTGCTTTATGAACACTCTACCTTCAGTATCCGATATGCCTATCAAGAGCTTGTAGAAACCGACCATTTTCCTTGCTCCCGCTTCTTTTCGTCCCAGATTTACAGCGTTTTCTAGTGGGCATTATCCAGAGTCTATCGATATCTGGAGAAGCAATTAATCAAGGCTGATTCACGGTTGTAAGAAATGTGTAGTACAGCATAGCCACCCGTGATCTGGTGAGGATGTGTGTCCACTAAAACTAATCAGATCGGCACCCTAATCTCGAAGATTTACAAAAACTGTTTATTTTTTGGATTTATTTACCGCTACGAAGTGATTGTTCCAAGAATAACAAGTAAGATTGTCAATTGCTATTGTGTAGGAAGACGGGGGAAAATGTACAGGACCTGCCCTTCCTAAATATGTGTTAGACTTCATGGAGGATGTTGATTATATCTATGTAGTTCCTCATTTGTTCACTGGCCAGTGCTCTATCACTTTTGACAGTAGTAAGGGTAATGCGATTAGTCTATAACATGCTAGGTTTTATTTACCCCCTCCTTCGAATATTGGGGAGAAAGTGGCCTGCTTCCATTCTCTTGGGAGTTGGCGTGACTCCAATGAGCGCCTGAATGTGTCACACACTCGCGTTCTGATAGCCTCCGCGCACTGTTTCAGTGTGATAGAGAGTATGTTCTCAAATCCTGGTGACTTCCTGGGTGCAAAGTGTTTGGTTTCCCTAATACTTACCTGGGGATTTCCTGAATATTCTCTTAAATAGAACTAGAGGTGAGAAGTATTCCGTGCTTGCATACACCTGGTTTCACCGGCCCATGAAGTTGGCATTAAAAATCTATTCCCTTTCTAAGTTAACAAGATCATCCTCGTTCGTCCCTTTGAGGGCGGAAATCTACTGAGGTGTAGTCTTTCTTTTGGTCATGAATTTGTAACGATATTCTGGGTTAGGAGTACAGTGTGTTGAACAGCATTCTGAATGATGTCTCTAACCATCTTCCAGTGGCCATTCAATGTTAGCCTTCACTATTTGTGGCCAAAAGGCATGCTGGAGATCCTTCCTCGTAGTCATATAGTCTGTCTTAGTATAGTAAGATAATGGGCGTCCTTGTCCTCGCCAGGCATTTCGTTTGTGATCATGTCAGACATGACTGTACCATGGTCACCACCTCCTACTGCAAAGTGTGCACTGACAAACTCAACTAGAAGCTAATCATTTGTCTGTAAAAATCTAAGTTTGAAGGTTTTTCGTTCCTATCCCATCTCACAACGCCACCCACATGCTCAGTTACTCCCGAACGTTCGCTTGTGGGACCACCCTGCAGGTTTTATATCCTACCTGATTATATTTGGGGACGGTGTAGCGGTCAGAGTATCCGCATCATTATAGATAATGAAACAATATTACTATCACCGACTGCCAAACAAAACTGGAGAACAAAAGATTATACAGAGATCCGTTTATTTAACAACTACAGCAGGTTCATACACTGTTATAATATTAGCATGAAGTCAATAACAAAAGTCTAAATATCAATAATAAGTA